CAAATGGTACTTAAGACCATTGCAAATCATTCAGAAACACAGTATTACACCAATTTGCAACAATCCAACTTAAAAAAAGAAAAAAAAAGCCCTTTGACATGAGGGACAAAAAGGAGAAAAATATCATAACAAACTATAAGGACTGCTACACTTCAACAATATAACATGTGTTTATGGCATTCACAAAAAAGAAAATGACTCCAATTTGCAAATGAAGCCAAGAAATCTAACATCAACTGTAATTTTAGGCTTTCAGACTATTCACCCAGAGAGTAGTGTGAGATAATGGTATAATTGGTACTGTACCCTCTTCAACTTGTAATACAGTCTTTGGGGTTTGTATACGATTCAGTTAATTCATTTGTACTTAGTGATATCATTTCTTTTACCCTAAGTCTTTGGGGTAATAAAACGTAGTCTTTGGGGTAATAAAATGTATCTCTCTCTTTCTGTCTCTCTCAAATAAAACTAACAAGAAAACAACATCTTTCTGAGCAGGTTCTATCTAGCAGAGCAAACAGAGAACTTATTCTCAGGAAAAAAGTAATGTCATTTTTACTCTTCTCAAATAGTAAAGGATATATATGGTCTGATACTTGCTTATATATTTCTGAGATCTGTACTTTACATCCATTCATAAATGTAAGCAAAGTAAAATAAAATAATATTCATCAGTTCTTGTTTTTCTGCTAATTATTCATTTCTTTCTCTGATATTGCCCTGTGCCTTATCGCGGATGATAAAGACTAGAAAGTGTGAGCCATCAGGAAGGATTAACACTTGTTGGATGAAGGGGACTAAATGGTCTTGTAAATAAACAAGAAAAGAAAAAACAAAAAAGCAAAACAAAATGAAACAAGTTCAAATTCTAAATTGAGTCTCTCTCTCTATATTATTTTTTCTCTTAAGTCCCTATCCTAGGAAGAACTGAGAACTGTAGCAAAGCAAAAGTGCATAGACAAATGTGTATTACCTCATTCTTCAAAAAGTCTTTAAAGATGATAAAGAATAATAAATGACGGTTCTTGGATGTGATAGGTGCCATTTTGCACACAATAAGCACAAAATAGCCACCAGATTTTCCCTTATGAGAAAACTTGTGGTTTCTTAGAAATAGAAACTCCCCTACTTTTGCATGAGTGCAACCTTCCACCTGATTGCATCTGCCAGCCTTATCTTCCACACCAGCACCAAACCCCTCCCTGATTACATCAGCCTTCCCTACAGCCTATATAAACTTTCCCACCCCCAAGCCTGCTGCCCTCCACTTTGAGCATGACCCAGCAGATTCTTTTTCTTTAATAAAGCTTGATCAGTACCTGGCATTTTGGCTCACTTTCTTTCATTTTGGTGCTGAAAACCAGGAAGGGTCCTGGCCAGCACCTTCAGATGATCCCCTCTCTTGGGTTGATTGGCCCTCCCAGCCACCGTTCCTGGACCCACCAAACCATGTGCCTCCAAGACTCTCTCCTTTTGCCATTTCAGACCAACACATCCACCATCGGCCTCAATTCAGGACGAGTCAGTGGGTCTCTACTACTTCTATGGGTTCCCCCAACTACTCTCTATGACTACTGTCTACTTGCTTCGAAGCCCAGGTGTCTGCCTGAGGAAACCCCTCTCATGCCCCCAAGCTATTGGAGGGTACTCCTCTAGCCAGTTGCTGGCTCCTCTCTCAAAAGGAAGGTACACACCAATGAGGATGCTCCTTGGTGTTACCCTTCTACTGGGACTGACCTCCTTTCTCACCCTTTAAATGGGATCCTCACAATCCAAACTTCCATGTTCTATGCCTCTGGGCTGTCTCATGGCCAGTTTACCTCTTAGCTTCCTGGGAGACGTTAAACCTAATCATCTCATTTTCTACTGTGATCTCTATGCCCTCTGGGCTGTTTCCTGTCCAACCTCTTGGCCTCCAGGGAAATATTAAACCCAAATGCCTTATTTTTTACTACAATCAGGTTTGGCCTAAGTACAAACTAGACAATGGATCCCAGTGGCCAGAAGATGACACTCTCGGTTTGGATACTCAGACATTTAGACAACTTTTGTCACCAAAATGGCAAAGCTGGAGAGATTTCTTATGTTCAAGCCTTCCTCTATCTCAGATTGCATCCTCTCTATCAAAACTGTCCTATGTCTCAAATTCTCCTAGCTTATGCCAGACATCCCCTTCTGGATTCAGGTCAATCTTTTGATCCATCAGAACACTCTGCTCCCCAACCACCTTCTTATGCTCCAGATCCTTCACCAGTCCCTCCACCTTTTCCCTCTCTTCCCAACACCTGGTCTTGAGATGTTCATCCTAAGCCACCCAACCCCCCTCCTTCTACCCCTTCATCAGGTGACAACCCCATCTCAGCTCTGGCTTCTTTATACCCCCTCCAGGAAGTGGCTGAGACAGAGGGAACTGTCTGAGACCATGTCCCTTTATCTCTTTTGGACCTTTCCCAAATTGAAAAATGACTGGGATCTTTCCAGTCCAACCTGGACACATATCTTAAGGAATTCAGATACCTCACCCAGTCTTATGATCTCACCCGGCATGATATTTTTA